TTGAGTTTCAGCATGTTTGATGGGTAAATATCGAGGTTCGGTTCAAAAAGAAAATTTGTTATGGAAATTGCCAGAGGAGAAATGGCCTCATGAATGGTTGATCCGAGCAATGATTATGGTTTATTGTGTGTTTCAATTACCGTTGGCGGTAAATAAAAGTGATAGAATGAGACCTTGGCTAATAAGAGATTTCTAACGGTATTTGGTTGTTGTGGGCAGCTGCTGTGAATCGAAGTTATCGGTACATATGTTGGGGTTATGTAGTATATCATATGATAGCACCTGAGGTTGCAAGAAGGGGTTATTACAGCTGTTTCGGGCTTATTCTGAGTATAGATGTGAGGTTCTGATCTTATGTATGATTTCGGAAAGTGCAATGTGGTTCTATGGTTTATGGACTAGATGAATTGTGAAATTTCAGCTATGTTGTGTTATCGGACCTATGCGAGATAGGGTGACGTGGGATCACCCCGGTTATATGCTTGGTAAGGTCATTCAGCTATTGGTTGGCTTCTAGGGCAACTCTGTGTACGCTCGAGGACGAGCGTTTGTTTAAGTTGGGGAGGATGTGACGACCCAGCCCGTCGTCTCATGTGTTACCGCCCCGTTTTCCCCGTTTATTGTTTCTTCGTGTTCATTATCGGCATTTGGTGAGTTAGAGTTGAATTGGTTTGGTTTTGGTAGAAAACGAGACACTTAGTCTCTTTAAGGAAGGCTTGTATTGGAAAAGTCAATCGGACGTTGACAATTGAGTTAGAGGGCTCGGATGTGATTTCCGGTGATTCGTTAGCTTCGGGGGATGATTTGTGACTTTGGAGTGCGATCGGACTTGATTTTGGAGGTTCGGTGTAGAATTAGGCTTGAATTGGCGAAGATAGTATTTTTGGCGAATTCCGGTTGGTAGGTGAGATTTTGATCCAGGGGTCGGAATGAGATTCCGAGAGTTGCAGTAGCTTCGTTAGGTGATTTTTTGGATATGTGTGCAAAATTTCAGGTCATTCAGAGGTGTTTTTGGTTGGGTTTCTGATCGAATGCGTGTTTCGGAAGTTTTAGAAGAACTTAGGCTTGAATTCGATGAGAAAAGATAGTTTTAGTGTTGTTTGAGGTGTTTTAATGATTGGAGCAAGTTTGAATAAGGTATTGGATCATGCTTGTATTTTTGGTTGAGGTCCCGAGGGCCTCGGGGTGATTTCGGATGGCTAACGAGAAGTTTTGAACTTAAGAGATTGCAGAACCTGTGCTGCTTCTGGTATTTTCACTTCTGCGAAATTGGGACCGCAGAAGCGGTACCGCAGAAGCGAGAGGAGAGACGCAGAAGCGGCAGGGACCGCAGGTGCGGAATTGGTGACCGCATCTGCGGAGTCGCAGATGCGACAGGAGGACCGCAGATGCGGTATTTGAGCTCTTATGGGGATCCGCAGATGCGTTAATTGGTCCGCAAAAGCGGGAGGCGCAGGAGCGGATGTTAAACCGCAGAAGCGGATATGTCCGCAGAAGCGGTGCGTTGACCGCAAAAGCGGGAGCCGCAGATGCGAAAATAACTGGTCAGAATAGTTTTTAATTCCCTTCACGAATTTTTGAAAGGGTTTCATATTTTCACTTCGGACTTGGAGAATTTGGGCGAGTTGGAGGAGAGGAATAAAGTGACTTCATTGAGGTAAGAATTTCTAAACCTAAAACATGATTTTATGGTGCAAACACATGAAATTAGACTGAAAACTCAAGGATTTAAGGTCAAAAATGGTGGTTTAGGGCTTGAAACCTAAGAGAACAAAAATGGGAATTTGAGGGGTCATTTGGACTCCGATTTTGGTGTTCTTTATGTGTATAGACTCGCGGCGAGACGAGGAATCCGGTGATGTGAATTTTATAATTTTTCGAGAAGTGGGCCCGGGGCTCGGGTTTTGCCAACTTCGTGATTTTCGATGTTTTTCGAGTCTTTTCGATTGGGTTATATTCCCTTAGCATATTGTGACGTATTCGTTATGGTTTTGGTCAGATTCGACGCACGAAGAGGTGAATTCGAAAGGTAAGGGCATAGCAAGCTAGGACCTTGGCCGGCTTGAGGTTAGTAATAAATGTAAATGCTGTGTTGAGGGTTTGAAACCTCGAATTTGCACAACGTAGTGCTATGTGAGGTGACTTGCACGCCGGATAACGGGCGTGGGGTAGAGCACTGTCGGGGATTGTGACTTGGTCCGTCCCGCTTAAAAAAAATTCTGCCTATTGTT